CAAAGCGCTGTCTCATGCCCCCCCCACACACACACACTGGGGGAGCAGCAGCCTGTGACAGAGCAGGGGAACCATGAAAACCAGTGGCAAAGCACATTCCCGGCTTCCTCAGCACCTTCCTACAGTTGAGGCTGTGGCCCCGGCAGCACCCATGGCAAGCATTCAGAGGCCAGGCGGCAGTAACACGATCCAAGAGCAGTTACAGAGGACTGTATAAATAGCTCCTTATTAATAGAGGAGCCTTGCTGCCCAGGACCCAGGCTGGAGGCACTCCCTGGTGGGCTTTCCTCAGAGCTGTGGGCAGCAAAGACCAGGTGGCTTGGACACAGCTGCTCAAGTGTCCCCATGTCCTTCAGAGCCCTCCAAAAGGCCTCCTTTCTCCAACTGGCCCACAGTGTTATGTGGTTCTGGGGCCTCCAAAATCAAACCACTGAACCACTGGCTGCAGCACTGCCAGCCTATGGCTCTGGGGTTACTGAGGTCTCTGACCTCTGACCGGCTGTGAGAGGCTCCTGGGGAACACTTGGCCCAGTTTCTCTGAAGGCTACGGTGTGTTAACTAGGACTTTTCTTCAATACCTTTCCCTCCCCTCTCTCTCCTAACAGATCCCTTCTCTACCCATAGTGTATGAGAAATCCCCTAGGGAAAGGCCTGACTCTTCATCCATGAGAAGGTCTGCTTTGGGCTCCAAGGAATGTAGCTCATCCATCTCATAGGACAGGGAGTGACAAAAGAGACAGGAAGCAATCACAATGGTCCCCCGTCAGCCCTACTGGGTTTTCTCTCTGTGCAATAACCAAGCTTGGGGAGCTGTGGTCTTCAAAGTAGCTAAAGAGAAGGGAAATAACATTCATAGCGCAAGCCGCACATCATCTTTAATTAATACTCGAATACTGAAAATGAGCTGTTAGGCACTTGTTACAAAGACAGAAAGGGGGGCCAGCCGGTGGTATAGTGGTTCAGGCACTGGACTCCCACTCCAACATCAGTTCAAGTCCTGGACCCAGCATCTTGAAATGCCCTGACTGGCCATATAGGAATGTGTGCCCAAAATCCCAAAAGGAGAAGGGCGAGGAAGAGACTGCAGTGTGGCCATTCCCCCCAGGGGATGATTTCTCACTTTCTGTCTCTCTGACAAGCACACATACCTTACAGCAAAAATCTCCAAAAAAAAAAGAAGACGACAGAAAGGAAGCTCCAAGAGGCCAAGCAGCTTATCCCATCCAGGCCTCAGACCCAGTAAGGGGTAGACCCAGACCTCGAGCCCAGGCCTGCTTTCTTCCTACCACGCCATGCTGAGTCTGTAAGACACAACCGTGCTCTGGAGGGAAAACTGCCACAGACAGTGTGGACAGAGGTAGGGCAGGGGCACAGTGGTCCAGTTCTACCACTTACCAGCCGTGCAGTTTCGGCTGACTTCTGAGCCTCCGTACCTTCGACTGTCTGAAAAGGTGGACGTGACCATAAGGAGTACAAGGCTTAGGAAATGGCCAGCCTGTGGTCAAGTCTCACGAGTGCACGGGCAGGAGGGCGGAGAGTTCACACAGGACAGAAAGAGCACAGGATGCTGCTAGCAGTTCAGGGGAGGGGAGGGGAAGAGCTGGGCTGTGAGTGGGGTGGGGTGGGGGACAGGCTGAGAAAATGGGGGCAAGGTGAGCAAAGGGTCTGGGGAAAGAAGAGGTAAGGCCCTTCTAGTCCCTGTGGAAATGCCTCTCTTACTCCTATTTTTCTTTCTTCTCCCCACCATGAAAGTCAAAAGTAAGGGCCAGTTGGGATGTGGTGGTGAGGGTACCTGGATTCCACATAGATGACTCGGTGGTTTGAGTCCCAGACCCAGCGCGTATTCCAGGTTACCAGGTCTGGCACTCAAACTGTGTAGTCCGCTATGTGGAATCCAGTCCCCCTAACCACCAGGCCACAGGCTGGCCCTGACGTGCGTTCTTGACTCACAGCCAGTAACCCCATGAAGTACAGGTGGGAGTACATGGATATTCTCAGTTCTAGATCTGGGTGGGGCAGAAACTGTAAGAAGCATAGATTAGAGGGGCCTAAATGACAGAGGTCAAGGGAGCCAAGCCTACAGTTCAAAGGAACCAAACCAAATGAAAGCTGAAAGCTTGTCTGGAGAAGGAACAGGTGGAACAGGAGCAAGAGGGAACCACACTGAAAATGCTCCCTGGAGCACCCACCACACCCTGACGTATAGGGGTTCAATGATGGTGCAAAGAATCCTCTGTGGCCCCCAGGGCTCTATAGGATCCAAGTCCCTCACACCACTGTTATGCACACCAGGCATGGTGGTCCTTAGCACATGCTCCAACACACATTAGAGTTTCAAGGATGCCAGAGGAAATATCCCAAGTTTAATTTTGTCCAGTTCTAGAAGAAACCACTAGGCTTTGACACGTAATATATGAAACCTGAATATATATGAAACCTAGATATACTCTAACTGCATCTTTAAAGACTGCTGGGACAGGGTGAACCTACTCAGGTCTCGATCTGGGTACTCTTACTCGAGCTCTCCTAAACCTAATTCTGCTTACAATACAGTAAGACTGCTTAGATGAGGGATAAGCACTGCATTATGAACCCAACTGGCTCCATGATGAACTAGGCTTATCATATGGGGGGACTCTGGTGGGCGGAACTATGCACTCCCAAAACATGTACAATGCAGCCTTACTGCTTCCCTCTTT